CAACACACACATACACACAACATACTGTATGTAAGGTACCATGCGAAATAAAAAATAGCTAACAGATGTAACCTTCTTTTGAAGTGCATGATTTTCTTTTACTTGACCTAAAAAAAGTCACCAAAATATTTACTAAGGAAATCCACAACCTTAGAGTGTGATAAGTAGCATTCTTTATTCATTTACATTCTAGTTCCAGATACTATAAATTCTTAAAAGTCCTATTGTTTAAAAAAAAAAAAAGTGTTACAAAATGAGACAAAAACAAACAGAACACAAGCAATGACAAAACAAGGTTATTATTGCATAATGGACCAGTGATTTGGGACAGATTCGAAATGTACAATACATTATTTTCAAACTCTATTTTCAAAATATAACAGTTTGTTTTTCTTTCTCTCCACAATGGGCAGGAATACCAGAGCCCTTTTAGAGGGGATTCAGAAATTGAGTCAGTTTTTCAAATGTTCTTTAGTATAAAATTGGTATTGATACTAGACAGATGAAAGGAGAAAGGGGGGTTGATATGGTAAGAAGGAGAAGATGCATTGCCATCTAGATGACCTGTTATCTAAATTTATGAAGTAACATAAGAGTAGAAAGTTCAGATAAGTCAGTCTTATTTCTGCTATAGAGTAAAGCTAAGAAAAATAGACAGTAGGACAGTTGACTGAAAACAGACTAGAAAGAGATCATTATGTATACAATTTATATTTTTTAAGAAAAGTGTGCTTTTCCTGATATACACTGAATTAATTAACTTAAGATTAATTAATTTAAAATATAGTGATTCTAATAAGGCTGCTGTCAAGAATTACCTTTCTGAGCCTTGCTTTCTACATCTGTAAAATAGGGTTTTGATAGAGTTGTCTTGCATTTTAAATAAGATAACATATGGAAATAACTTGGCCCAGAACCTGGCACAGAGGAAGTATTCAGTAACAATTAGTGTTATCTTTCAATTCTCCAAAATGAGAGCTAATATTTTTCATGTAACTTAGACCTGGTCAGCTTTATAAAAGGAAGCTTGTATTTATCTAATTATGGATTAAACAATAGTATTTGTTTTTACTACTGCAAAACAATTTAAGAACTTAAAAGTTGTGCTAAAGATCAATTACTCCAATAAGAAAATGATACTGAAAAACTACTATATTCTAGGTATTATGGAATATATAGATTTAGAAGATTGTAAGTAACTTACGGTCTGAGGGAAAAGATACATAAGTCAAAATTTCAAGCATTCTGCTAAGTTCTATAAAACTAGCTAATAGAAGCCAATCTAAGAACATAGAAATTGAGGTAACTAATGTTTCAGAGGAGTCAGTAGAGGGCTCTGAAGGCAATAACCTTCAATAGTGAGAAGTTTGTGGAGGAGCATCCCTGAGAAAGACATTTTGGGAAGAAGAAGATGACAAGAAAAGACACACAATTCTAACAGGATAGTGAGAAAAAGTCAATGGTTTCAACACTGTAATGTCTTCTCATAAGAATGGTAATTAAAGACGCCCTATTAAGGTAATGTATGTTACAGACACATACAAAAAGACTTGTACCTTTTAATGTCAAAATAGTACCAATATCTAGGTTTAAGTTACTGTTATGCCACCAACTATTACCTTGAGGGTGCCATTTGACTGTTTCTTTTTTTTCCTAATCTATACATTTATAGGCTTGAGCTATGCTTTACCAAAGGACAATTATATGTGTTCAAAAACTTTTACTTAATGTTAAGTGGTGAAGAGATTACTGACAGTGCATTTGAAGAGTTTTACTACTTAAATACTTAGATACCTAGATCTATCTATCTTTGTTTAGAATCTTATAAATCCTTAAAGTGCTAATGATCATGCTTATATAAGACTTATATTCTGACTGTATAATGTAAATGTAAATGAGATGTAAATCATTTCAAAATAATCTCACAAGATCTCTGAATCAAACTAATATGATGAGATATAACGGGAGTATATATAAAAGTCTGCACCAAAGATAGAAAAAAAATGAATTGCATAATTATAGAATTTTAAGAATTGGACTTAACTGTAAAGTCCCAATATTCTAAAAAGATAATTTAGATGACTACATATTCATTAGTATATTAATTAGTATTATGACATGACAACAAAAAAGTCAATGAAAGCAAATATAGACTTCATTAATGGAAATAATTTGTAGTGTGAAACTATGCTAGAGTGTGTTTACCTTTAGAAAACCACATTTTTAAAGAGATATTGATATCCCTGAAGAGCAATAAACTGTAACGCAACCAGGGAAAGATGATTAGTATGATGATGAAAATGAAAATATTACCTTATGATGAAGAATTGAAGGAACTAGGAGTGTTTAGTCTAGGAAGAAAAGATGGAATAAGAGTCTGGGGATGGAGGGCATGAAACACATGGTGGACCCAGCATGGTGGGTTGGTATGTTTGAAGAGCTTAAGGTTGGAGCAAGGATTAGGTTGTTTTTTTGTCTAGCTCCAGAGAGAAGACCAGGGATAATAGCTGCAGAAGAATTTTCCAACAATTAAATATATACAAAAATTGAGC